CTTGGAAATTCTTGCTGTTGGAAGCTTTCCTTCCACTGAAACAGTTTTGCCCCATGAGCACATTTTTTTGGAAAGTATTTGATTGGTGTAGTAGTTATTGTCTGAAACTGTTTTACATTGTGACTGTTAGACTGACTTCTCCCCAAAAGTCACATCTGCCAAAATGTGTCTGTTCAAAATGTCAAGGAAATTCCTTTTAGCTCTTCTCTGCACTAGATTCACAGGTAAACCAAACATATCTTCAAAAAAGTTTGCTAATTTCAATCGTTCAAACTATAGCTCTTGTGAACTTTCTTGAGAAAACCTGGAGCAAAAAAAACCATTAGAACTTGTTCTTACAGAAAAGAGGATGGGCAAGGGACATAATAGAAATAGCAGTCTGGGGGGAAATCCTTTTTTGGTGGAGAAGTAGTTCCTATGGTGACGTGTGAGTGAAAATTTAGAAGACTGTGAAGGTGTTGATGCCTACAAAGTAATATCCCTGGGATAAATCCCAGGCCAACTACAAGGGAAAATTAAGTGGCAAGCCAGGAGAAAGCTGGACTTGACAGGCTCCATTCTATGCTGTTTTTTCAGTGTCTGTGGCTGAAGAATGAATTCAGGAAAGACTAAAGTATACTGAATGGACTGCATGTTATTTGATAGTCATGGTGAAAATTATCCACAATGAGAAAAAACTGTTGAATTTAAGTTAGCAAAAAAATCCGAAAGGCAGGTATCTAATGCAAGGAGTTTGTTGAAGAAATTCACTTGGTTCAAAAAGTACCAACTCTCCTGATTTTCCACTTCTTCCACCATTTAAAACTCTAGGGTTTTTTGTTTCTTGAGCATTCTTTATTTAATTGTAAATACAACGTTGTCACTTACTAAATACAAATAGTGTTTCAGATGATCATTACTTCCCCTTGGATTTTAATCACTTGACAAAATTATTTGAGCCTAGTTTTCTTCTGTCAAGACAATTTACACTGTTGTATGCTGGATGAAAATATAATGAAAAATATGTAGCTTTCATATTTTATACTGCAAAAAGTAGGAGAGGCTCTCACTTATTTTCAATGTTTAAAATAAAACAATTTTATGGAGCATTTTTCTGATTCAAATGATAGGCTCATGAACAACTCAAGTTGGTAATGAGTAAGATAAATTACCATCAAGATAGAGATCCCTTCATTTTGCTGACTACATTAGTGGAATTGTTCCCTTGATTGTTTTTCCACTGAAAACAAGAATGTTTGTTCATTATGCATCTATTATGAAGAGAAAATTCCTCCAAAAATAATTTCTTGTGTTTTACTTGTTTTCCTGGGTTTGTGACAAGGAAACATAATTTATCTTATATATTGTTTACCAAATGTGTCAGGGGTAGGCATTTAGATAAACCCATATATCAAGAAAATGGCTGGATTCAAGCTTTGCCAAGTTTGTATTTTTTTTTTTTTGTGGAGTGGGACAGTACTTTAGTCAGCTTTTGAAAGCTAAGTTTTTGAAGTTTTTGAAAGCGAAATTTGCTGCAATGTGAAAAGTTCAGAACCTGAGGAGGCTACTCTAAATTTTGTTATTAGCAGAAGTTGAACCAATGATCATCTGCTTTTCCCTACAACTGTCCTTCAAGCTCTAAGTTGATGGCCTGACATCAGGCAGTAAAACAGAAAGAGACAGACCTGAAGGAAAGAAAAGAAAAGGAGGGATATTCACAGAATCATCAGACTGACTTTATCACAAAGATGAAAGGTGAGTTCGTGCTTACAGCTGAGGTTATCAAAGGTTACCTAAAGAGGAAAAAAAATTCCCAGACTTTTACAAGAGATCAATAGAAACACTGTAAAAAGGATGGGGATCAGCTGGAAGAGAAACTGATGCATCCTTGAGACCTAGAGGGAAACCAGAGTAAAATGAAATTACAGAAGACAAAGGATGACAAGATTAAAGAAAATACTTGGTTGAAATCCAAAATCAAGAGACTGAGGACAATGTGCTGGGTCCAACATTTGGTAGCAAAGAGTGTACAGGACAGAATCTTGATTGAAGATGAAAAGCAAAATACACCATTAAGACACAGTTAAACATATAACTCTCTAAATCTAAGCTAATTTTTGAGATTGATCTTTGAACCAGTGAATAGAAAGTACCATCTGCAGAAGACAGCTTGATTACATTGTTCTGTACAGGGCTTTTAAGGTTGAATCCCCTCACCACTGATCATACAGATGACCAGTTGAGGCTTGAATAATTGTCAACTACGATTTTTAATATGAAGGAAAAACTCAAATGGAAGGTGCTCCAGGCAAGTGAGAATGATTTATTTTTTGTGTTCACAGAAAAAGACCCCAAACCAACCTGGTGCAGAAACTGAAGTCACAAACAGAATGAGCTCTCTTTAGAAAGTGTAATCTGTAAAAGAATTTGTTTCTTTTCCGGACCTGGAGGGCAGCTTTATACCCAATATGTGGTACTGTGAGAGTGAATAACAGCTGAGTCTCACCTAGAGAAACAATTCTTATCTGGTGAAGCTCAGCTTCCTGCAGAACGTTGAAGAAAATTGTTGCAGTGTTTACACTCTCACTGAAAAAAAAAAGTATTGTGTCACTCTTGCAGTATTTTTCCACATAACTGCAAGTTTAGGCTGGTACAAATATTATAAAGGGAGAATAGTCACTGGATGAGTGCTAAAAAATACAGAGAAGAGGATGAGGAGACAATATGTGAGAGAAACAACATGGTGACACCAAGGTCAGTGGAGAACAAGGAGGTGCTCCAGGTGCCAGAGCTGACATTCCTCTGCAGGCTGTGGTGAGACCATGGTGAAGCAGCTGTGCCCCTGTAGCCTTGGGGATCCACAGAGGATGCAGAGATCCACCCACAGCCCATGGGATCCATGGGGGATGCAGAGATCCACCCACAGCCCATGGGATCCATGGGGGATGCAGAGATCCACCCACACCACAAGGGGATCCATGGGGGATGCAGAGATCCACCCACAGCCCATGGGATCCATGGGGAATGCAGAGATCCACCCACAGCAGAGCTGGTGGAGAGAGAGAGCCTCTGCTTCCAGGCTGGAGCAGCCTGTCCTTGGAGGACTGCACCCCATGGGAAGAGAGAGCCTTGCAGCAGTTTTGGGATGACTGTGTGCCCATAGGAGGGACTCACATTGCAGCAGTTTTGGGATGACTGTGTGCCCATGGGAGGGACTCACATTGCAGCAGTTTTGGGAAGATTGCTCATGAGATTTGGAGTCACGCTGGGGCAGTTCACGGGGAGCTGTCTCCCATGGGAGGGACTCCAGGGTGCAGCAGGGGAAGGAATGCTCTCCTGGAGTAGCAGAAGAAAACCTCGGGTGATGAACTGACCAAAACCTCCATGTCCTGTTTCCCTGCACTGTCAGTGGAAAGGAGGGAGAAGTTGTGGGAAGAAAGGGTGTTTTAAGGGCTTATTTTACTTCTCATTATCCTCCTCTCATTCCGTTAGCAATAAATTCACTTTGCAACTTTAAGTTGAGCCTGTTTTGCCCTTGGAGTGTTTCTCCTGGTCCTTAACTCATGAACCCTTCATTTAGTTTTTTTTCTCTCCTCTGCCCTGCTGAGGCAGGGGAGAGTGAACAGCAACTCTCATTGTCCCTGGCGTTGGGCCAATGTCAAACCATGACAACAATGTATACAGAAATATATTATTTGTTTCCAGCATCTTTTGTGTACTTTGGTTTGTCTGTTTGCATGCCAACTTTGCATGAGCCAATATATTCCTGCAATTGATAGATCAATCCCTCCAGACATTGGAATTCTTTAGGCACACTTTTAGGTATAGATTGTGTTCAATTTATAGCAACCTGCCACTCTAGAAACAGTGCAATCAGCATCCTATTTAATGGACTCATTTAACCAGGATTCTCTCTCTTTCTGCTTCTTGTTTTCTTTTTACAGAGAGGAAGTCATCCTTGACAAAAATAAAGAGGAATGGACAGTCTGCATTTGCAAAGTTTGAATAGCACTTTTTCAATGGTTAGTTTGATCACTCACTTAATAAAAACAATATCTCTAGTATTGTCCTAAGTCTGAAGGTGACCTTTTCAACATTTTAAATAAGAGGGAGATGATTTATGGTGATGCATCACATCCTATTACACTTTGACATATATAAATGATGTGCTGAAATTCTATAATGCATTAATTTTCTCATGTTATCTGTAGATATTGAACTATTATACTTTTACTTCTATACTACCCTAATATAAAATTTATTTAGAAACCAGCTTAATTAATAGTAAAACAAACAATGAACACTTAAATTATTTCTTTAATAAACTAAACAAATGAAAAATAACATGAACAGATATAAATAAAGTATTTTACATTTGGTTGGAAACTCTTTTATTTCCGTTAAGTATTTCATTGTGACAGAATTTTAATAATTGCATTAAAATGTTGGACCTTAAATTCCTCACAGGTATTTACAAACATCAGGGAAAAAAACGCAACATGAAATAACAGTCTATTTCTTCTTTCCTTTCTTCTTTTCTTCCTCCATTTTTCTGAACTATTTAATAAATACAACATCTGCTGCAGAGCTACAGAACCACAGCACGGATGAGGTTGGAAGGTGTCTCTGAAGGTCATCTTTTCAGCCCTCTGCCCAAGCACAGCCACCTAGAGCTGGCTGCCCAGGGCTCTAGTCAGATAGTTTTTTAATATCCCCAAGGATGAAAACTCCACAACCTTCATGGTCAATCTGTGCTAGGGCTCAGCCATTCTCACAGAAAAATCTGATCTTTATAAAAGTACAGATACTGTATATATTATGAGGAGAAATTTACATGGGTCAGCACAGTTAGGTTTCATTGCAGGATTTTTAAAAATCTGCTTTCATCTGCCCTTTAACAGAAAGGATGTTTTTTTTCTGGCAATGTGTGCATTTTCTGTGACTCACAAAATTTAGCTGCAATTTTGCTGTGAAGAAAACCACTTAACATGACCACCTTCCTCTCGGTTCCACAAGTCTCCCTGTATATTTTCTAGCTGAATAGCCCCAGTGTTACCTTCTGGTGTTGGAATTTATGAAAGCATAAGATGTCTGCCTCTCTGCTTCTTTAGTGAGTAAAGGGAGTGCTTGGGATGCTTTCTGTAGGCTCAGAACTATTGCAACTGTAGGGAGACAGTGATTAAAATTACAAAGGTCTTCAGTCACTTGGTTCAGAGGACAAGGTTAGACTAATTCTGTGATGGAACATTGCGTTGTTTTTTGTTATTTTCTTTCTGCTGTTGCAGTTATAGCTGTATGGTTGCATGTGGGTTCTGGAAAGTGTTTCCTCCCCCTTTAGCATGGCAGGGACCTGCAGATATTTTTCCTTCTTTGCCACATGGGGTATGGGTTGCCTGCTAGGATCATCTGGGCATAACTCAATTCATTAGTCCCCTGCTAATGTAACTAATGTTGTATTTCAAGTGGCAGCCTGTGCTGAAAGACTTTACATAACACTGTTTGAAGAATTCTTTTCTACCTTAACAGTTAACATATGTGACACATAACTTATCAATTTTTATACACACCCGACTCCCGTAGTTTTTATCTACTCTCATATTACTGTTCACAAAATCCACAAAGTTTCAGCATCTTGAAGAAAGAGTTGTATGTTATAGTGATGTATTTTTAAAAGCTTATTTACAGATATGATGGGATGTTTTTTCCCATCAGAGACGCTGTTTTCTCTCTGAAATACTGAATTAGTTGCATTATTCTGTCCTTGCTCTACCAGATTTTGATTTCTGTTACTCAGAAGAGGGGAGTTTTAAAGGGATATTTCAGAATTTGTCCAACAGTTGCACAGGAATTTGTATATACAGTCTTTCCAGTACAGTAGTTTGTTGTAAATATATAAGAAAGCTGTTCATACAAATATTCCAGTATACATCATCAAATAATGGTAGTTTTAAATTGCATTTAGCAATGAAGATGCTACAGATTGAATACAGATTCCTGAAGTGTTTTCTGCCATATAAAGACACCCTGTGAAAGAAGAATGCATTTCAGATAAAATCCCTTTCTGACAATGTCCTAGAAATTAGTTTATTAGCATTGTGAGAAACAAAATATGTTGCTGCTTTTTTCTTTAAAATACACACGTTGCTAATGTCTAATGTTTCCCTTTTTCACTTGAAAAGTTTACAGACTGAGACACTCTAAGTGTCCAATGCGACTTCAAATGGGACTAAGGGAAATTTCATTCCAGTTTTATCATTAGCGTAATATGCAACTTTAAATGTCTTCCTTTATCTGCACTTCAGTTTATGTCTCTATCTGATTAAAACCATGAGAGTTCTTTTGTTTATAGTGTTCTTTGAGATCTCTGCAAAACAAAAACTTGAGCAGAGAAGAATAAATACTATTTTGCCATTTGTTGTGTTCTAGGTTGTTCCCCTCCATCAAAGATTTTTTGAATCCCTTCATGTAGCAGGTAATGCATATTGAATAGTAACACTAAGTTCCATTATTTTCTTTTGCATGTCTGTTGAAGTGTATCCATCACTATTTATTTTTCCTTTGAATTAAAGTATTAGAGAAAAACACTGCTATCATATACAATATTCTGACTATGGTGTTTTTTGTGGTATCTTCGAGGTATACACATATTGAAACAATTTTATGTCAGACCTGGCTGTGAAGGTTGATCTGTTTTACTGAATTACAGGTGTTTACAGCAAAGATATCTACGTTGAGTTATTTTTATATTTTTTTCCAGTCAGGAGAAATAAAGAATTTAAAGGCATGAATCATTTGAGCTGCTTTAAATGTCACCTTGAGGATGAGAAGAATTGTGTTCTGGGAATGCCCATTTTTCCATGGATGGAAAAGGGACTGACTAGTGCTAGCATCTGCACTAAATCAGATGAATCCCTCTTTGTGCGAAGGGAACAAAGTTTGTAAAGAGTAGAGAGTAAGTCCTATGAGGAGTGGCTGAGGGAGCTGGGGTTGTTTAGCCTGGAGAAAAGGAGGCTCAGGTTACTGCTCTCTGCAGCTCTCTGAAAGGAAGGTGTAGCCAGGTGGGTTTTGGTCTCTTCTCCAAGGCAACCAGCAACAGGAAAAAATTAAATGGCCTCAAGTGTCTCTGTGGGAGGTTCAGGTTGGTAATTGGGAAGAATTTCTTCACTGAAAGGGTGGTTAGGCATTGGAATGGACTACCTAGGGAGATAATGTAGGCACCATTCCTGTAGGTGTTCAAGAAATGACTGGACATGGCACTCAGTGCTATGGACTAGTTCATAAGGTGGTGATCAGTTAAAGGCTGCAATTAATAACCGTTTTTAAACTTAAATGTTTCTGTGAAGCACACAGCATCACTTATCTGTTAAGCGCAATATACAGAGGAGGCTGAGCAATACATTTACTCCAAGGGTCATAATCCCTGTGAATTATTAAGCTATTGCTATGCAATTTAAACTGCCAAAAAATAAAAGTAAAATCAAACTTTTAAAAATAATAAAACAAATAAAACTAAATTGATAAAAATAACTAGTCAAAATGAATCAGTTATATAATTACTTAATCAGCTCTATCGTACATCTGGCTTCAGATGATTCTGATCTACAGTGAAACATTTCTACTGCTGAATTGTCACAGTGGAGATACAGTAAACAATAGCCAGTCACTTCATTTTTTGTTTTGGGTCATTTTGTATAGCACCTAAAAGAAAAATTAGGACAGGATAAATAATGGAAAATATTAGTATTCAGTTTACCATCCTTCTGTGGCTGAAGAGGTCTTCCATTGTTTATTGATTCTGCTTCTTTGAAGGGAAGATGAAGCTGCAGAAGCTGTCATTGGAAGTGCCCCCCAGTTACATCTAGAATCTGTCACAAGTTCATCTGCTAATCATGGTACTTAGAGCTGCAGCCTGCCTGTCTGTAGCCTCCTCCCCTGGGAGCTCATTGCCTTTGCAGTCTGTAGGTTGTTGTGGTTTACAGGTAATTTCCAGATTCAGTTCAAAGAACAAGTCAAGACATAAACAAGTCTGAAATGGCACAAATCTAGCTACTGCAGAGATTAGCTGGAGGTATCTTCAGATGTTCTTGTGATGTTTCCACTGAGATGACCAACAGTGAGCCAAGTTTTACAACCAAACTACTAGAAAATTGCTAGAAATTATTTATTCTGCAACTTTAATAAAAGCTCTCTTCCCTTATTTATGGTTAGCACTCAAGACCACATAAAATTCAAATATCAAGCTTCATTTCTTTACAGACCAGTCTTTTAAATCCCAGACAAATTGTTTCTCCACGAAAAAAGCCTTGTTTGTGACTCAATGGCTCACAGCTTTTAACCTTAATCTAAAGCAAGAATATATAGTTAGCTTTGGTAGAAGCAAATATAAGATGGCAGGAAATAATACCTCGGGAAGGAAACAAGAGAACATTTTTCTATCATATTTAAAGTGAGAAGAAAACTCGAAAAAATATTGTCAAAAGAATAATGGAATATTGTCTATGATAATATTTTTTGACTTAATTACATTGTCAGTTCAGTTGATATCTGTCTAAATATATGTATCTATATGTACATATGTGCTTGGAAATCCATATGCACAGTGTTGTTATCTATTATTTGTCACATGGGTCATGTGCTATACAAAGCAGAGTTTAACATTTCTCCTTCCCTCTTCTGTATTAATCAAGCTCTTATTTCCTATTGTGTTTTCTATTTTATTTCTAAAGGATTAGATTTTTTTTTTATAAATGAGCCTGAAGTTCAAATCCTACCAGTCTTGCTTGTATATAACTGAGTAGATGAATGTCTATATTTTTGTTAGCATATTTATGAAGTTTTGATTTTGATGCTCATTTCAGTGATTAATCATTTGGTGATCTAGATCTAAACAAACACACTCCTTGCCTGCAAGAGCAAATTTTCTGCCTCCCAACAACGAAAAAGAGTCATTCACATAAAACTATTGCTTATGTTTTCCAAATTAATCTGAAATACAGGAAGCTTTCAACACAGTGATTAGCAAAAGAGGTTACCCTGTAAGGGGGAAAAATAAATCACTGAAACTGATTGCTCCATGCAGAGCATCCTTTAAAAGCACAAATAGAATCTGAGCCAGTACTAGCAGAGAGCATTCTAAGCTGAAGATTATGCTGTTATCATATCATGCACTTGAGAGTCCTCTGGTAGAAAACTTTGGGAACAATTACTCACTGATTTATAGAGAGGATATTAATGTCAGAAGATACAGCAAAAGTGTTTTTGAGTCTCAAGAATCTAAGTTTCCATTAAAAATAAGGAGCTTCCAGTTATCCTCATTAGAATGCAGAAGAAGTATATGTAACAAACTGAAAAATTTCAGAAGCATGGCTCAGGATGATAACATTAATATGGAAAAGCTTTCTTAGTTCTCTGAAGTTAAATTCTGCACAAACCTAGAAGATATAATCTAGAAAATAGGAAATTTGAAGTAAATATATGGTTCTGGGAAAAGTAGTTCATAAAAAAGAAATAAAAGTAAAATAAAGTATAAAGAATAAAAATCAAATGTACTTTGGATAGTAGTGAATAACAATAGGTGCTGAACATCTGTCAAGAAGATGGAACTAAGCGTGTTCAGGGAAAATATACCACCTTGAATGTTTTCTTTATGCAGGCAATCACTAATATTGAAATTAAATAAAACAACAAAAATGCACCACATAAAAAACCCCAGGCCTACAGCAGCATCAAATAAGGTAGAATATAACACTCTTAGATAGGTGTTTTATTCCCAGCTGTGTTCAAATTGTACCTTTTCTTATGGCTTTTCCATGCCTACACAAGTTCATTCTCCAGCTACATCCTTCTCCAGGTTTCCACACAAAAACCTGCAGCAGCAAGTGAAATTTGACCTTTTGTTCCATGTTCTGCTCAGACCCATGACACCTGGGGGAATTTGCTCCTAACCAAACTTGAAAACATGTCTCTGACATAAAAGTGAAACAAAACAACAGTGAAAAACAATCTCTTGCTTTTTAATTTAACAATACCTACCCCAAACCAACAGAATAATATTATCAAAGCTTAATGTTATAATTAACATTTCTATTGCTATAATTAACACTTCTATTTTTATGATTAACATTTCTCTAAAGCTCAGAAAAAGGAAAAATATAAAGATTTGTTTTACATTTAAAACTCAATACTGACTTTTAGGCAACAGAACTGACTATGCTGAGCATTTCCTTTTGATATAGCTGTTCTGTGGGTGTTTTGCTGTTTAAGGTACAGATACTTCAAGTCTTTTCTAAAGTGCAGCATGCTGATTTTGTAAACATGGCAGATAAGCTTAAAGCATGCTAAAGGTAAGGTTTTAATTAGATAAATATGGGTAATTTCTGACCATGCTTAGTGGTTACTATAGCATGAATTCAGAAATCTATAAGTGGATGAAATTCTTCCCTCCTTTAGAAGTTATACCATAGGCATACCAAATAAAGTCTGGAGGAACTTTTTTCAGCAATGTAAGTGAATTATTCATGAAGCCATTTGATTGTCCTAGGAATACTTGGAATATAAACATTCCATGGGACTAGATGGCTGGTATAGCTAAACAATCCCATACTTTTGTTTGCCTGATTGACAGGTTGAGTTTATGACCTTGGGTGTCATTTTTCTTCATCATAATTCACAGAAGTGGCCTCAGCCTACATCATTAATTTATTCAAAATAAGCTGTAGTTTGGAATCAGTCATTTTGTGCAGCTAATCAGGACCCTCTGAGGAAGGAAAGGATGAGCTTGATTAAGATTGCAGATCGAATTTGAGATATTTTATCTTAATTTCCTCCCTCTGTGACTTCTGGTATTTCTGTCATAACCTTCTGCAAAAATCTTGACTATATGATCTACTCCTTAGTCCTCTGTTCTTTAAAAGAACTGATATTATTCCATGCAGTTAGATTGCAATTATTTTGGTCAATAATTGCTACCTTTTTTTTTTTTTTTGTTTAAATTTAAACTTTAAAACAATAGGATCTATGTATGATTGTTTTGTTTTAGTTGCTTGGGTTTTTAAAATATACAGTACTTACATGGTTTCAATCATATTCCACCCTTGCACATTTATCATTGGCCAAATCTTGACTCAGCAATGTCTCAGAGTTCATAGTTTATTTTATTTTTTGTAATTAAACTAAAATCTGCACCTGATTTCTCTTCACAGCTGGAGATTATTATTGTTCTCCCTGCTGTAAAAAGGCTGACATAGATCCAAAGTTATCCCATGGGGAAAAATTGCATTGAAATAGAAAAAAGAAATCATAATTCCCCCAATTAAGCTAACCTTAGGGCATTATTAAACTATGCAGATTTTGAGGGGTGTAATATCAATAACTTTATCCCTATGTCCGACGATGGACAAGGCACATCCCTATTTTCCTTGTTACCAGAGCCAAGAAGGGATGCCATGGGAGTGGGAGCAATTAAAGGAATGTAAGCTATTAGAGTCAGTATTTGAGGGAAGGCAATTTAATTTTGGAACCATCTCTCTGTTGGAGGTAACTGTTGCTGTAGGGAGCCCAGCTGCAGGAAAGAGGTTTGATACTGGATTGTGGCTTACCCACTAAACTGAGCTTTTGTGTTTTCACTGAATGTGGTACAGGGAATGTGGCAGCTATTTCCATAACAACACAGCTTACTCCTGGCAGATATTGAATAAACTGTGACTTCTGCCAGAGCTTGTTCCTGTGGAATTCAATTTAGACCCCATCATGAGTGTGAGCAGGTGATTTGGCTGACTCTTCCTGTGGAGATTAACTAGTTACATTATAGTGCCTGGATACTTCCAATGGGATCAATCAGGATATGTTAATTGCACCAAGATAATTTTAAAGTGGTGTAATGGGAAATTTGTTAACTTGGGAGAAATGCTATATTTTTAACAGTAAGGGGTATTGTTATTATTATTCTTTTGAACAGGTGGTCTAACAGCATGGAAGGAACCATG